ATCTGGCCACATGGTCGGCCTGCTCTAGACCAATTCTTCGACCACATCAATTCCATACACCCAGCCATCAGATTTACCATGGAAGTCGAAATAGATGGCAAGATACCTTTTTTGGATGTCCTAATTAAAAAGAGACCTGATGGTTCAATGAGCCACTCTGTCTACAGGAAAGCTACCCATACGGATGCTTATCTGAAACCGGATTCCCACCACCATCCATCACAGAAGAATTCTCTCATCAAGACTCTGTATCATAGAGCCCAATGCATATCCGACCAGGAACACATAAGCAGTGAACTCAAGCACGTACACCAAGCTCTTAGGGCTAATGGTTACTCCGACTATACAATCCGCAAAGCTATCACTCAAACCATGAAGAAGAACCCTCTTGAGGAGCCTTTCAAAACCATCACTTTACCCTACATTGCTGGGATCACAAAAAAGATCTCCAAAATCTTGAATAAACACAAGATCCAGGTCCGTTTCAACACATTACATAAAATCCGTGATCTGGTTCCGTCTGTAAAAGATGTGATTCCGGACATACAATACCCTGGTGTCTACAAACTAAGTTGCCTCTGTGGTAGTAGTTACATTGGAGAAACCAAACGCCATGTCTCGGACCGCATTCGTGAACATAAAGCAGACCTTAAACACGGTAGGACCAACACCTCGGCCGTAGCAGATCATTGTTCTAATTCAGTAGGCTCACATGCCATTGACTTTTCCAAGACGGAGGTTCTTTGTAAGCCATCTGGCTTCCATGAGAGATTCGTTCATGAGGCTATCCACATATACAAGCACAGAGACAATTTCAACCGAGAAGATGGATTCTATCTTAGCAATCATTGGAAAGATTTGATAAACCATTTCAGTTCTTAATTGTTCACGCTTACAGTGGCTTTCAGACAGCATACATTATAAAAAATTTCGTCTCCCCCCTCCTCTTTTAAAAAAAATAGATGGACTAGTCCTGGGCAAACTGCCAAATCGCTGCGCGTGACGCCAACGTTTTTTATAATTAAATAAATGCGCCGTTTAAAAATAAATTTATGCAAACCAACACACCTGAAGATGACCGTTTGAGTTATGGTCGAAACGTCGTGAGAATTTTTTTATTGTTTTATATATATTTTATTATTTTGTTGTTTCTCTTCAACGTGACTTTACCAAAAAAACTAAGAATTTGGAAATATTTTTGGTAAACAACCATAGAGTATGTATCTTTGCAGTCACAAAAGCTTCAAATCTACCGTCACTATACAGTTAGCGCCAGCCACTATTTCTGGAGTGCCGCTGAGCGCCGGGAACCTCTCTCGGAGGCTTGAGGGACACATGACCGGGAGGAGCTCCTGACTCGATACAGTAGGGGGTGAGGCTGTAAACACGGAAATAAAAGGGGAGCATCGAGGGATCGGGGTTCATTGTGAGGATCATCTTCGCGCCTCGTTCGTCGTCAAGTCTTAGCTGGGGATCGTGGGTCAGGCAACGTGTGTGCTGACTGGCCCGTTCGTTACAGTTAACTTACACGTACATAGCGAACCGTATAGCCACACATAGCTATAGAACCCAGAGTGTAGGTTGTTTATTAAACGTGTTGCCTCCTGTATAGTGTGTGCCTTTGTATTGCACACTATACATGCATGGATTCTGGAATGCAACATCCCTTTTGGTGACTTACAGAGTATTTAAAGTCGTTTATTGGGGGTACAGGCAGACCTCGCAAGCACAGACCCTTAGAATGCCGGGACGTGATGGCGCTCTTTGTCCCGGAGGAGAAAATTTCTACGATAAAAATTAAAATCTAGAAATTCTTAAGGGGCCATCCATTTAGTACGTACGCAAAAATCTGTCAAAACTTGACCCCTTCCCCCCCTCCCTGTACGCATGCGTACATTCTACACCCCCCCCCCCCCGACCTGCGTACGTACGCTTGACGCACCCCCCCCCAGCTCCTATAGAACGGCCGATATTTAATCCATGCAGATTAAATATCGGCCTAGCTTTAAACACAGCTTTGTACAGTTATACTTGACCATTTTATCCATCTTCACTGGTTATTCAAAGACACGTCTATTATGATCTTAAAACACAATTAAACCTCGGTGAATTATTCTCAATACAAAGTGCGTCGACTGAACATCTGCTGTAACAGTAGACCGACGTACAGAGCAGTGTTAGTGTAGTGTCGAATCGCGTACGCGCATGTGCAGCGCTGTAGATGTGCTGCACTTACCCGCAATGGCGAACAGTCCGGGAAGGAGGGGGCTGCGGGGTGTTCTGGGATCCCCCGCAGGCCCCTTCCAACAGGAGGGAGGGGGCTGCGGGGGATCCTGGGATCCCCCGGGGCCCCCACCTCCTGAAAAGGGGGCGTGGCCAGAGGCTGACACACCGGAGAGGTGTATAAAAGCCGGACCTCAACACAGGTTGAGGGCAGAGTTATGAAAACTGAAGAACAGCTAGACTAGGACCCTGGGACCTCGAGCCCACTGCCCTTGTAAGGGCCGGGTCGACCTTGGACCAGTGGTCGGACCCGCACCTTGGCTGGGTCGGGTCAGGATAGCCTCCCTAGTCAGGACCCTGGGACCTCGAGCCTGACGTCCTTGTAAGGGCCGGGCCGAGCTGGGACCAGTGGTCAAGACCGGTACCTTGGCTGGGTCGGGTCAGGTAGCCTCCCCTAGGACATGGATAGCCGGAGGGCTGGGAGCCAGAAGGCGGCAGTGTTTAGGTCATGATAGCCCGGAGGCCATACCTCTCTAGATAGGGGGCGTAAGGGAGTTGCTGTAGTTAGAAATAAACACACCGTGTTGCCTCTACCTCAACGTCTCTGTCTCCATAAAAGAACCCACTACATTAGTACTGAAGTCCGGGCAGCAGCAGCACGAACAGAGCACCGCGGCAGCTAGAATCTTGAGCCAGCGGTAGTCTGCAGTGAGGCCAGATTGAAGGATGTGTAATCCATGGGGCAGGCCGCAAGACTATGTCACTCACTGCTAAGCTGCATGATAGCTTGCAATCAGGGGTATGGTGGCATACAAGTGATACCTCTCCCACAGTCCTACTTCTCTCGGTATTACTTGTCTGACAGCTGAAGAAACTGAACTGTGGCTCATTTGAAGGCCAATGTAGACAAATTATTATTGAGGCTTCACCCCCCCCCCCCCCCCGTTTCCCATGTGTACGTACATTTTCAGTAGACCCCCCCATAAGCATGCGCATTTGGGTTAACACCCTCCCTGCATCCGTACTAAATGGAAGGCCCCTAACGGGCACACGTGTGAGAGCACGCAGCAGCGCTCGCAGAGGAAGCGTCACACCACCCCTGCCAGTAGCTCAGCCAATGAGAGCGACGCACGGCTCTGAGCCAACCACAGACCTCCACCGCCCACGATTCGATTATTACGCTTCGTGGTAACTATTACATACAAAGAATAATATATCGATGTTATATATTTTTTAATATTATCACAGCATCCATAATAGGTTTTTTGGGTTAGATCGCGTAAATATATAAATTTGTCGTTAAAACCCACCACCACCCGACAGCCAACTAGTAAGGGTTGTATACTCTTTGGTTCCTTCGGTAAATTCATGTAAATATAAAATAAAATAAATCACGTTGTTTCGATTGCAACACAAGCGGTCGTCCTCAGGCGGAAAAAATATAATCCAGCAGTGGAACTGCTGAACCAGCGAGAGAGCAGTTACAACAAGGAGGTTATAGATGTGGCGATGGGCAAGCAAGCGGGGTCTGAGCTGGAAAATAATTCCACCCCCGGACGCGAGCACCTCAGTTGTGTTAATGGGGGATATTAGGGAGAGAGTGATTAGGGAGGGAGATTAGCATGAATGAGCTTCCGTCACCGCATAAGAGTATCATACCTGCATATGCGCACAACTGCAGTGTTAATTAGAGATTAGCACCATGAGAATGCAATCCAAAGGAAGTGAACATGAGAGTGCAATCCAAAGGACATGTGAGCATGAGAGTGCAATCCAAAGGACATGTGAGCATGAGAGTGCAATCCAAAGGACATGTGAGCATGAGAGTGCAATCCAAAGGACATGTGAGCATGAGAGTGCAATCCAAAGGACATGTGAGAGATCTAAGAGAGAAGAATAGAGAGAGAGGCACACGCAGAAAGTCGGAAATAAGAGCTGACATAGGCAGGTAGGATGGAAACATCACAGTCAGTTAAGACTTTACCTGGTTAATAACGTCCTTCCAATGATTGCTCAGTTTGTACCCATCTGCTCGTTTGAAGTTGTGTCTGTGTTTATTTATCTGGGAGGCTTCATGAACAAATCTCTGAAGGTAGCCGGTAGGTTTGCAGAGTATCTCCGTCTTGGAAAAATCTATTTCGTGTGAGCCCACAGCGTTAAAACAATGATCAGCAACGGCAGAGGTATTGGTCCTACCGTGTTTCAGATCTGCCTTGTGTTCACGAACGCGGTCCGAGACATGGTGTTTCGTTTCCCCAATGTAACTGCTGCCACAACCACAACTCAGTTTGTAGACACCAGGGTATTGCATGTCAGGAATCACATCCTTTACAGATGGGATTAAATCACGGATTTTGTGTACTGTGTTGAAACGAACCTGGATCTTGTATTTGTTTAAGATTTTGGAAATCTTTTTGGTAACCCCTGCTATGCATAGTAAAGTGATGGTTTTGGTTGGATCCTCAGAAGGTTGTCTCCCCGTGGCTGGGGAGGCACCTTTGCGGATTGTACGGTCCGAGTATCCGGCTCAGACCCCGCTTGCTTGCCCATCGCCACATATATAACCTCCTTGTTGTAACAGCTCTCTTGCTAGTTCAGCAGTTCCACTGCTGGATTATATTTTTTCCGCCTGAGGACGACCGCATGTGTTGCGATCGAAACGTTGTGATTTATTTCATTTTATTTTATACCTACGTGACTTTACCAAGAGAACCAAAGAGTATGGATTCCTGCAGTCACGAAAGCTTCAAATCAAGATTAGTAAGGGTTGTCACGTAAACAGAACATGTCAATTCGTCACTAGTACAGCACACCCGTATGTTGCAGAGCCAAGCCACAACATTTAAAATCTGAGTACGATGTTTCGCCAGTAATTACAACTAGCTTCATCAGGTGACAGCCAGCATGTTTAGCCAGGTCATAACTCACGACACCAGGATAGAGTCTCAAGCACCACCGAAGAGAAACCTCGCCACAGAAATATAGATTGAGGGCATCGCTAAGACCAGCACGGAGGTCCTGGAGCTCTTCTCTGAGATTGATGCAGATCGGGAGTGCAGCAGCAACAGCTCCTATAACCTCTCTTACCACTGCCTTGTAGAAAGAGTACAGTAGAATGCACTCACGAGTACAGTACATAATACTTACTGATGTTATTTTATTAAATAATTTTCATTCATCAAAAGTTTACCATCTGTATTATTCTTATCGTGATTACTCATACTCCAATGAAGCCCTCATACATTGCTCATACGAAATAACGATGTTGGGAACGCATCCCTATATATACAATGATATGACCCCTTTTTAGCACTGATTCGAGTAGTGCTCACTTCTCTAGGAATGCACCTTGAGCGCTAGGCGCAGTTTGCCTGCGTATAAAGTAATTTATTAAATATCCTGGTGTATTTGTTTTCATTCGAACGTTTTGGGTAACTAAAAGGGAAGCGGTCAGCTCCAGCGTACTCAGCTGTCCCTGCGGGTGGCACACGGCACCGTGCAGTCCCAAGTCCACGATCGTTGCGCCAGCACCACGGCCAGCACCAGCGTCCACGTGCGCATGGGGCTCAGGACAAACGCCAGCGCCCCGTATGCCTGCAGAGTCGCCGCGGCGCCCTGCGCCTGCCACGCCAGCAGGGCGAGGGCCGGCACGTGCACCAGCAGCGTGCGGCAGCGTCCCGCGGTGCCGCGGGCGTGCGACCCGAACGCGAGGCCCGTGGACGCACGCAGGCGCAGCACCCAGCAGGAGTAGAGCGTGAGCGGCACGTTGAAGAACAGCACCTGGCCCGGATGGGGGTGGGGGTGGGGGGGTGAGAGGGACAATGACGAGATGGACAAAATGGGCGACGATGGTGGCGACGACGGCAAGCCGAACGCCCATGGGTTGGCACGTGCGGCGAGCCATGTGGTTGAGGAGGTCAAGGGCCTGGAGCAGAGTGCCCGACAACGAACGTGGATGCCTGTTTCTAACGCAAGCGGCGCTGTACTGCGACGCTCATCACCTGAAAGATACCCATGTAGAACGTCAAGCCGCTCTGGAAAAACTTCTCTCCGGTGACGATGCCGAACGAGAAACAAGCACCGTAGCTGCCATCGATCATTTCTCCGACGAACCACGGTCCTGGGGGGGGTGGGGGTGGACACAAGAGAGTTTGTGAACGTTTTAGACCGTTGCGATCGAAAGAGCCCGGCAATGAGAGTGGCCATTGTATTACAAGCCGTGGAGTGGGATGCACACAAGGGGATGACCCGTGGGGATGCTCTTCCATTCCAGGGACTGAGAGCAGACAGGCAGGGGTATGGGGCAGCGCTATGCGATGCATAGGGGCCCAGTCGGCCACAAGGGGGCACGAGATACAAAACAAATACAATGTTAAGAAAGGTTATTCCAATAATTAAGCATAAATGCTAAAAAAGACATGGTTACAAATAAAAAAAATATTTCCGAAAGATACGCACAGTGTAAAATCTAGTAGCCGCTACCGCTGGTGTTTGTTACTGAACACCACCGGATTATTTTGCAAACTGACTTGCGCATGAAAGTGAGACTCACGATAACTTAATTACCTTTAAATATTTTTATGAATACTGTCACTGCGGTGAGACTTCTTCATTTAAACCCAATACACGGTGCAACTAAAATTATATATAGTTACAGCCTACATTGTATACGGGGTGAAAAACATCGGTAGCTATTTCAGTAATAGTGAGTCAGGAGAAAGGTGGGGGGGCCCACAGTGGGATCTTGCATAGCCCCCCAATTGAAATAGGTAGCTGCGCCCCTACAGACCGGCACGCATCACGTGTTCTGCATTGACACCACCCACCGATCACTGTGTAGACGGAGAGCACAAAGAGCGGGTAGAAGAGTCTGTCGCTGCGGCAGAGCAGCCAGAAGGAGTGGTAGCACCGCGCCAGCCACCCCGACGACGCTGCACAGAGCGCACAGCGCGACGACACAAAAAGACATCAAGCAACCGGCAGCAGCCACGGCAGCACTTTCGGCGCGTGTAAATTGACACGTTGCCGTGTTTCACGAATCGAACCAAAGGGGTTGTCATTTAAAAGCTTGGTGGGGGGGAGAAGAAAGAAAAAAGGACGATGGGGAGGGAATTCCAAAGCAGAGGAGCGCTCTCCGAAGCAGAAAGCGCTTCTCTATGAAGAGTGCTCCGCTTCTTTGAAATTCCCTGCCCATAGTTCTTTTTTTTCCTCCCCCCCCCCCACCGAGCTCTTAAACGACAACCCTTTTCTCCGAAGCGGGGAGTGCGACGTCACTTCCGGTGTGGCAGATGAACACGGTGTGTGCGAGAAGAATCGGTCGGTCTCGTAAGCCGGGTCCTCATCGTGTGTAGCAATAAACGAGAGATAAGGGGGTGAGTAATAATAATTTTAAAATTCTAAGGCACATTTCATCCAAGGATCACAATGCACCCTGGGTTATGGAAAGCAGGAAATAAGGCAGAGCCAGCGGTAAATGACAAAAATTATGGGGAAACGGACATTTTAAAGAGGTGAGTTTTCAGGGCGAGATTTAAATAGCTCTGAAGAATTTTGATTGTCTTATTGTCAGAGGTAACACGTTCCATAGCCTTGGAGCAGCACTGTAAAAAGCACTATCACCCCAGGAACGGAGCCTTGACCTCGGTAAACTAAGAAGAAGGCCATCAGAATATCTCAAGGACCTCATTGGTGGTGTATAGAAGTTGATCAGTTCCTGTAAGTAATGTGAGGCTAACCCATTGACAGCCTTGTAGGTAAATAGCAGGAACTTTATAATGAATTTGATATTAGATTAGTAGCCAATGCAAGGACAAGGGTGTGGTGTGCTCACGAAATGGTCTTCTTGAGTAACTGACTTGCAGTACTGTCAGATTTCTGGTCAACTCTTCAAGTCGATGTTGTCATGCGTGATTATTTCTGCGAGGTACACAAGATCCTCCTCCGAGGACGGTGGGAGACTGTGAGGGCAGAGCTTGGAGGACGCATGTTGACTTTTCTGTAACTTATGGATCTAGCAGGAGGTGGGGGGGGGGGCGTGGAATGCGTTGGCAATAAGGCGTGGGGTGGCATCGGTGGCTTTGGCCGTGGTCACTTCTTAACCTTGGTTTGATCAGTAGCAATACTGCAATGGCATTAGATGTGAAGAGGGTTAAATGTTGGATCCATCAACCATTCTGTCTTGGATGAGGCTAAATATTCGATATTGGAAATGGAAAGAGTTGTTTATCAGACGAGACAAAGGTTTAGGAATAAGTTAGGCAAGGGTGTTTTTTTTTAGACGTGGAAAAAGGTTTTGGGAAGAGCGGTGGTGCAGTGGTTAGTGTGTTGAGCTACACAGCTAACATGAGTGGTTGACACTGGCCTGCAAAGTGAACCGGAAGCTGAAGGGGTTCTGCATCGTTTGAAGGCTCTGTTTTGGATTAATCGAAGTTTCTGCATTGAACAACACAAACGTTCTGTAATGGATGAGATTTTTGTATTGGATGAGAAGAGGGTGACACGGTGGCGAGATGTTAACTACCTCGCCTGGTATACAAGAGGTCGTGGGTTGGATCCCGACCTTGACGCTTCTATATTTGGAATTTGCACTGTCTGTCTCCCCGCGGTTGCGTGAATTTTTCTCCGGTTCTTCTGTTTTTTCCCACCACATTTATAATCAACATGCGTTCAGAGTATTTGGCTGCTATACATTCCACGTTATGAGCCACTTCGTTGAGCTATCATTTGTGGCCAGATCTCAGTGGGCCTGACCTGGTAAAATAAAAATGAGTTTTTAGTTTAGTTTATCTGCCTGATAAAACAAAAACTGTGGCTGGTAGTTTTAAATGCCACGTACATGGTGTACCACAGATATCATTTGAGTCACGTATCCGTCCCATGGAGCCGACGTCAACCCGACACTGACTCACCCAGCAGGGAAGGGAAGCCGTGGTAGCGCACGAGCGCCAGCACCAGTGTGTGCAGCAGGGAGCACAGCAAGAAGACTACACAGCCCTGCGGACACGCACGGAAAACCAGCACGGTAAGGTCGCCTGCATGCGGGATAGGAGTGGGATATGTGTTTCGAGTATTTGGCTGCTATACATTTCCACGTCATAAGCAAATTCATTGAGCTATAATTTGTGATAGCCAGGTCGCTTCTGAAAAAGGGCTACATAGCTCAGTGTGAATTACCTGGTAAAATAACCAATAGTTTAGTTTATAGTTTGTTTGCGACAGAGCAGTGAGTCATGGGAGGAGGAAGGCAGGTTTAAGGGAGTTTACAGCTTCAGAGGACGTTATGGATTGGAAGATGGCAGCACCTTTCACACGGACCGCTCTGTTAAGTGAGAAATCATGACTAATGCCACCGACGTGGCAAACCGAACATCGATAATCGATCTCCCAGTCTCCAAAGCAACAACTCGAGCCACCGTAATGGCCCCCTGCTTCTCGAGCGCTGGACAAACACGCCGGATCGGTCCTGAAATGAGGGATCCTCCGACTAAACATGGAGGGACTTTGCCAGATAGCGTGCAAGTAGCTCGTGAACATTTTCAAGATGCGTCCCATCGACGTCCTCACGCTGCCATAAGTTCACATCTCTAAAATGACCAGCAGGCCCAGTTACTTGCGTTATCCATGGATACAACCTCACGAGACTAGCCATTGCCACCCGAAATATGGCCTGGCCACATTCGTGACTTTGAGAGTGTAGAGGCAGAGAGAAGACGAGATGGACAGAGAGGTGATAAAATGGAGACAAAATAAAGGAGATGAGAGACACGGCAGGAGAGGAAAAATGGAGGAAGCCAGAGCTGAAAAGCAAAACAGTGGAAGAGACCAAGAGAGGGAGAGAGACCAGGGTGTGCAGGTCTGAGTGAGAGAGTGAGAGAGAGAGAGAGAGGGAGGGACCAGGGTGTGCAGGTCCATGAGGAGGATTGCAGATGGCCACACGGAGAAGCTCAACCCAGGGTCTTCCTCCGAGAGCCAGAAGTCATGCTCCGCACGGCTCTCCCGGCCAGCCGCATCCTGTGGGGCGCACACAAACACAAACGGCGGTCAGCCGGCCAGCATTGCAATGTCCTTATAGATGGAATACAGATGGAAATGAATATATGAACCTCGATGCTCACGGGCCGAGAGGGAGTTGAACGAGCCTGCGTGCAAACCCACCGACCCTCGCCGTCTCTGCAGTGCTGGATTGCAGGTAGCCACGTGTGGCACGACCGCCAGCGCCCGGGTCGCACAAGGAAGGTGGAGGATCATGCGGTGCACTCACTCACCACGGTGGAGACGGCGATGCGGTGCAACGCTCCATTTGCGTACAGATGTGGATCCCAGGGCAGGACGTAGAGTGGGGCGTCCCCCGCAGCCCGGCTCGCGTTTCCCAGCGGCGCGCCATCCACACTCACGGACACGCGCAGCACACGCACAGGAGAGAACACCAACACCCTGCGGGGCGAATACGCATTACGGACACAGGTCAGGGACACGGGTCACGGACACAGGTCAGGGACACGGGTGAGGGACAGGGATCAGGGACAGGGTCAGGGGGACATGGGACAGGGTCAGGGGAACACGGGTCAGGGACACGGGTCAGGGACAGGGACAGGGTCAGGGGAAGGGACAGGGTCAGGGACATGGGTGACAGACACGGGTCAGGGACACGAGCATGGGAGAGAACATCAGAACCCTACAGGGAGAACATGCAAACTCTAAATATACAGGCATCAGGGTCTGGATATAACCCACAACCTCCTGTAAACCAGGCGAGGTAATTAACATCTCGCTACCGTGGCGTATTAAGAGTAGGTGTCCCATTTCAGGAGTCATTTAGAAACATGCATTTAGAGTATTTGGCTGCAATAAATATCCACATGATAAGTCACTTCGTTGAGCTATTATTTGTGGCCAGGTCGCTTCTGATAAAATAAAAATAGTTTAGTATTATTATATTTATAATTTTTTTGTGATTGGCTTAGTCTTTCCTATACTTTCCACTGCTATCGTTCTGTTGTATTGTTTGTTGTTGTAACTTTCTAACCTGCCCCCCCCCCCTTCCAGGACATTTGTTTAAAAACAAGGGAGATTTGTAGGCTCATTGGATTTCTCCAGGATAAATAAGCATGGCGATTCCGATCCCGATTGAGGAGGGCAGGTGCCGACCTGACGTGACTGGATCTCTTCATACGACCAAGCGGCTCGCGTGTGGCCCGGCTGTACAGCGCCGCCTTGGGGTTGGTGATGAGCACCACTGGCCAGCGGTCCAACTCAAAGTCCCCGAAGCTCAGCAGGTCGTGATCCATGGCCATGACGCGGTACCTGTGAGTAGGGGGAGGGGGGGGGGTTCCACCACAATCTGCCAGTCGCATCTTTGCTCCGGGGGTCAAGTGTGAGTGACGTACGTGTGTACGTATGTTAAACTTATTTTGCACCATACATAGCCAACCGTGGCGCTAATTGGAGGTGTCCTGCTCGGGACCTCAATGCAGAGAAGCTACGAGCATGTATTTACGTTTCTACAACTGGCTGTATAGATCTGAATGAATTTATTTTGAAACATAGTTGCTGAGCACAGGCCCAAAGGCCCAAAACATCAAAGTTGTAATAGATAAGCTGACACGTTTCTTGAATTGATTAAGGTGTACGTAAGAACTTGAGGAAAACGAGATGATGCTGGGAGGAGGGAATTCCAAAGTGGGAAAACCAGAAAGGGAAGTGGGGTGACCCGCAGTTTACTGAGCGGTGCTGGTACCTGCGGTTGTGCATCCAGTCTCCCAGCTCCAGCTCCAGCATGCCGGTGCTGTGCCGCGTGTGCATCACGGGTGCCAGTCCTCCCAGTGTGTGCAGGTGCCCGCACAGGTACGCAGAGGCTCGGCTGCATGCGCAACAGAGGAAGACACGGGCCCCGTACAGAATCGAAGGAGCGATTCTAGAGGTGATGAGCAAATCCATGAGAGAAGTGACTTTCCCGAAAGAACCAAAGAGTAATTCCTGCAGTCACGAAAACTTCGAATCTAGTTTTCTCCTTTATACCAGGCGAAGTAGTTAACATCTCGGCACCGTGGCGTAATTATGGAGACACTAAAGGGGCACGGAATGGTCTATGGCATTGATTCCCAACATGTTGCTTGCCGTGTACCTCCTACCAGACCTATCAAATGTCCGTGTACTCCTACCGGCATACATTTTTCTATTCGTGTGACAACAAGGTCGCACAGTGGTCATACTTGTGCCTGACAGTAAGAGGCACCTGGGTTCAACTCCTGATTCGGACACCTCAGTGGAGTTTATCTCCTCCCTCTATTCAGCATGGGATTCCTTCTGGTTTTCTGGTTTCCTCCCATTGCTAAAATGTTATAATGTGTTGGTCAAACGTTCTGATGTAGCAGGACCCTATTCACAAGATTCTTCGGACTTGGTGTGGCTGTCCTTGGTATATGAGCAGTTATTATTCAATTACTTGATAGAATATGCACTGTATTTTAATTACTGCTGTATAATTAATACTGAACACATTTAATTTACCACTTAATAAAACTTAGCTAAATATTGACAATTTAACATGTATGCTTCAATAACACTTCAAGAAATCACCACTGTGCAGATAAAGCCGGGTCACTTCCCATCTCCACAAAGTGGAGTGGAGAGGCTGAGGCAGTTTAACTCTTAATAAACTCCTTAAAAAAAGTGTTTTTTAAAAACAACGGTTTTATTCGCAACTTCGTTTAACTCACGGTCGAGAAGTGCGTCAGTGATGCAGCACCTGCTCCTACATCAACGCTTACTTTAATAAATTAGTTATTTTATAAATGAATCTTCAATGTACAACTTTTGTTTGTGTGGAGTGAGGGTGCCCGTAATCCGTTCACATGGCGCCTGCTTCTTTGGCGAGGCGATTCGAGAGTTTAGGGACCGCGGCGTTTTTGACCTACACAAAATAGATATAAATAATAAGGCGTCCATACAAAATGTTAATTGCTTTAAAGGAGCCAATTAATTGATTAATTGATGCCGATTTTGATACAGGTGTAGTGGCCTTATTGACGTCGGAGACTGTTCTTTGGAGGCAACACGTATTTATTACAAACACTTAAATTACAGTGGCGAATCTGATACTTGAAGAGGTAATGGCCTCTTCACCCATACTCTATAGAGGGAAAGTTCCCCGAGCTTTAGCCCATGCTAGTTTCCTGGTTCCCTCTATCCTGGTCCTCTCTCAGGAGGCTATCTGACCTGGCCTAGCTTCGGCGCAGGTCCCGATCACTAGCCCCACGAGTCCGGCCCTCAAAAGGACATCGGGGCTCGTGGCTCTGGTGTCGCACCCTGGCTTGCTTTGCCCGGCCCTCAAAAGAACAGCGGGCCAAAGGAGTTCCGGGGTCTAGCTAGTCGATAACCTTTCTTCACTGGCTCTTCATCTTGCTTGAGTCGAACTGCCCCTCAGCTCTCCGGGTCCCACCTTTTATACAGTCCCTCTCTGAGGGGTGGGGCTAGGAGGGATCACAGCATCCCCCACAGCCCCCCAGGGTGGTGGCCGTAGCGGACGTGTTTGTGGCCACCGTCCTACAACCGCATGTCTCCCTCCCGTAACACCTCTACACAGGCATGCATAGTCACCAGATCTGAGTACGTGTGCAAAATTTGGAATTGATTGGACAACAGGAAGTAGACTAACTTTTGATTACAAGATTTGACCACGACAAACATGAGTCAAGTTAAGTAAAACCGTGGAAAAAAACTGAAGAGATTTTCTGCCGGGCTTGAAGGAATACATTTATCATCATTTTTGCGTATTCATATTTGTAAAATAAGAAATATTAAAAAAAAACTTTTTTTAAAACACGCTTTAATGAAATATACCGTTCAGTCATGGAAAAACACCACGACTCCAGGAAGTGGCCCCGAAGCTTGCCATAACTTATGGGACCATGGTGATTTACAGCCAACGTTAGTTGAGCGTGGGCAAATAGACCCAAGCCGAAACATAATATATAAAAAATAATGTTTAAAAATATATTTTTTATTTTTAATGATAGAATATAGTATTGCCATCAGTATGACATAAGTATACCAAGTTTGCAGTCGATACCACATTGGGAAGTGGGTTAAAAATTTGTTACAAGACTTGAGGATACAACAACAGAGTGAGTTAATAGAAAGCGTGTATCAAAAGTTAAACAAATCTGTATAAATGAGAGAAAAACATGCCCTAGAAGAGCACGCGGATAACCCAGGAGGACTAGGGCTCGGGTTCACTGAATTCCATGCAACAGATCAGAATCAGAATATTTATTTATACTGGAGAAATCCAATGAGCCATAAAGCTCTTTTCACAGATCTCCAGAAGATAAGTATACGGCTGTAGAATTGCTCGTGCATGCACACGCAGAGCAAGCGCTGCTGCTTTATAATTCAACGTGACCACCGCCGTGACGTGGTTTGTCACGCGCATCCCCCCCCTCCCCGGTTGATGTGGTTTGGGCACCTGGTAACTTCCTCTGGAACTCTCCTGGGCACGTCACACTGGGTGAAGACCCCGGGGCCAGCCCAGGACAAGCTGGCGCTTGGCTGGCCTAGGAATGCCTGGGAATTACCCAGGGACAGCGAGAGTCCGTCGCCAGGGAGAGGGAGGTCTAAACCACCCTACTCAACATGCTGCCGCCTTGACCCTCACCAGGAAGGGCGGATTTAGAAACGAACCCGCCCAGTGATGTCACGCGTAGCCCCACAGGCCGGGAACCACCGGCCCTGTGGTTTTAAAATAAGAATAATTAACATTTGTAAGCCGCATTTCATCCCAGGATCCCAAAGCATCATAAGGGTCGAGGACAGAGGATCGGCAGCATGCGGCTCCGGAGCCGCGTGCGGCTCTTTAAGGACTTCTTCGTGCCGTAATTTATTAAGGACCATCACCGTCTCGTATTCATCACACGCATTGCGGCTGTTGAAATATTGAGTTTTTTTTCCGAATTCGAACAAAAATGGCCCTTCTTGTTATTTTGGTTGCCGACCCCTGGTCTGGGAGAACTGAGAGATTGGTCAGATTAGATTAGATCAATAATCTGATGAGAAGAATGGCAATAAACCTTACATCCCAAGATTCAAAATCATCATCACAATCCATTGGCAGATAGCCCGTAGGTGTCCACTGCACATGTCATCATTTGTTTCCACTTTCCTCTGTCTCATGTCAGTATGCTCAAGTAGTGCCATATCTGTCTTGGACCAATCTCTCCTTATGTCGTCATTAAGCCATGCTCTGTGAGGTCTTCCTCTGTTTCCGTTTCCTTCAATTTTTCCGAACAACAATACACTTTTGTCCACTTGTTGTCCACCCTACCTATGTGTCCAGTTTCCTTCTCACCACTGCCTGCATCATCAGTCTTCTTCTACGTGCAACCTTCTTCTTACTTCTACGTTGGTTACTCTTTGGGTCCAGCTTAGATACAGGAGTATTTTTCTGTAGGAATAGATTACTCGTGTAGTGACATACGACGTCACTACTGTGTCGGGGGACTCTACGAGCGGGGGGACATATGACATCACTACTGTGTTGGCTCAGTATGGGTGCTGTAGGCGGGTGTCACGGGGGTCGTGTCAGGCCGTGACACTCTGCGTGAACCCAACAGGACACGTGACCCAATAAAGGGAGGCTAGGGACCCCAGGGGGGAGCTTGAGGGTCACGTGGTTGGGGTCCCGGACCTTCTCGAAGGATCGAGAAGGGGGGCGTGGCCTGGGGCGGATCCGGCCACACCGCAGCGGTTATAAGTGGGGCGTGAATAGAGAGCGGGGCTGTTCAACTCCAGGATGAAGATGCCATCAACAGTCTTGGGAGTCTCCGACCTTCATCCGTGACCAGGCAGCCCATCACCTGCCCTGGTCACGCTGTGTAGTATTCCGAGTGTTAGTGAGATTAGGAACGGTAGTCACCACCCAGTGTATAATGTTCCAGTTGGTTGTTATGCGTTAATAAATAGTGTTATCTCCAAGTTGAGTGTGCGCCTCAATCGAACCCATTACATTTGGTGTCAGAAGTGGGGTTCGAGGTGCGTTCCATACACGCTGCTCTCCAATACGCTTTACGCGTCGAGCAACCGTCCAGCCAGCTCTCCTGCTGGCTGGAAATTCTGCAAGATTACTCCTTTCGGGTTTCCTATCGTAAGGGTGTGCGGCAGACTAATGCAAACGCGCTTTCACAGCTCCTTCCGCTTGGGGACTGTGCATGCCTCTCTGGTTCAGGCCGCTGCAAATTGGCCACCGCAGCGGTACCCCCTGTGGTTGTAGCGGCGGCGGGGGCTTCCACCCGTGATGGCCCTGGGGATCTCGTTGCGCACGATGCCACCCTCGGTTTGAGCCACGATGAATGGGGGTGCCTCCAGGTGGAGGACACCTCCCTCTTGAAGCTGCGGCGTCGCGTCGGTGATGAGGGGAACGTGTCGGGCCGGCGCAGGGTGGCCCTTGTCATTCTAAAGGACGGCCTTTTAATGTTTTGGGACGGCGGCTTGCGTCGCTACAGTCTTGTGGTGCCTACGGCCCTCAGGGGTAGATTGATAGTGGCTGTACATGAGCGACTTATGCATCTCGGTGTACAGAAGACCCTGGCTACCCTTCAACTCGATTCTTTTTGGCCCGGAATGGCTGGGGATATGAAGAATATACTTAAAGGCTTTGTGCAATGTGCTCGCCGAAAACCGCCAGCTACTAAGTGCTGTCCGCCCTTGCAATCTATTCAAGTGTCGCGCATTAACGAGCTTGTCGCGCTCGATGTCCTCAGGCCCTTTCCCGTCACGGCCCAAGGGAATAAATATCTGCTAGTGGGCATGGAGTATTTCTCCCGCTGGCCGGTAGCTTGGCCACTCCCCAACCAATCGGCTGCGGCCATCGCCGGCGCATTCCTCCACGGATACGTACTGGATAAGGGGGCCCCAGAACGCCTCCTTACCAACCAAGGGAAAAATTTCTCGTCCAAACTGTTGCGAGAGGTGTGCGACCTTTTGGGCACGAAGAAGGTTCGCATGTCACCCTACCATCCCCAGACGGACGGGATGGTAGAGCGACTCAACAAGACTCTGATTTCCATGCTGAGTCAGCAGGTCGGGGAGTCCCAGGGTGACTGGGACCTGCACGTTCCAGGGGTGCTTGCGGCCTATCGCATGGCCCCTCATGCTTCCACCGGTTACTCACCATTCTTATTATGAGACCTCCTTTGCCAGAAACAAGATATAGGAATAGGTTTTACCCTTTTAACTGGCACAAAAACTGACACCTTTATTCAAGGCATCATGTTTGCAATGACCACAACACAAGCAGTCAAAATGCAAACAAAAAAGACAACTCTGATAATAATATGCAATGTCCTTGAATTTGATTGGTCCACACCCGAGACAGCTTTTCTTAGAGCCTAGTCTCCATTTGTGTTGGACCAGAAGACGCCAAAAAGCTGTCTCGGGTGTGGACCAATCAAATTCAAGGACAGTGCATATTATTATCAGAGTTGTCTTTTTTGTTTGCATTTTGACTGCTTGTGTTGTGGTCATTGCAAACATGATGCCTTGAATAAAGGTGTCAGTTTTTGTGCCAGTTAAAAGGGTAAAACCTATTCCTATACTCACCATTCTTTTTAATGTATGGTAGGGAACAGAGCCTCCCCATTGACGTCCAGCTGAACATGGCGGCAAGGAAGCCGAAAGTCACCATTTCGGGGGGACAGGGCATGGCTGCACTGCCCTCAGGTGCCCGTGGGTACATCCCCCAAGCTGTACAAACTCTGGCGTGGGCCAGTTGAGGTGATTCAGGCGAACCGGCCACAATGTGTTAAAATCCGCTTCGGTCGCCGTAATTGGTTCGTGCATCCGTCCTGCCTTAAGCCTTTGTTGCTCCCTGTCACATCCCCTCATCTCCTACCCACGAGGGCCGAGTGTCGGGTGTGCCGGGCGAGCTGGGGTGCGCGCCCTCTGAGGTGGTTCCTCAGGGTGGTTCTGCGGTCCCGCCCACAGGACCGGAGTGCGTGAGGCCCTCGACGTCGCCGGATGCCTCTGCCCCGGACACTCTTCGTGGTGCGGAGCCACCGTTGACCAGCTATTCTCTGCCGGCCCATATGCAAGTCCTCCCCGAGCCACCCAGGGAGCTCAGGCCCGCCTCGCCTGGGGCTCCGAACTCGTTCTAAGACTGGCCGTTTTACGTGACTCGCACACACCACCGTCATTCAACTGTCACACTCACATGTCAAGGTCATTGGCTGAAACTGCCTTTTAATGTACTGTGCGTGCATCACATTTTTCAATGGGTGGGCTGTGCTATGGGGTAAGCAGGTTAGCCAGTATCATGTACATTTGTTGTTGTGTTGTTGTTAATTCCCCTCTTTCCATGCGTTCTCCTTTCCCTTTTATTCCCTGCCTCTCGGAATGTGTACATATTTTATATACAGTAATAAAACAGTTGATGATATCATTGCCCAGGTCGACGTAGCCCTTAAAGGTTTGGGACACATTCCTGCAGATGTGGCGAGATCGGAAATCGCTGCAATACTAAAAAACGCTAAGAAACCCATTAGCAACATCAGCAAGGATGAGCGCGTTGAGCTTGTTCGACTGAAAAAGAGAGATGACATAGTCATCCTCTCAGCTGACAAGGGCAATGCCACTGTCATCATGGATAAAACCACATACAGTAACAAAATTCAGGACCTACTTAATGATGGCAGCTATACCAAAATCAAGAGAGATCCTATCAACCGCCTGGTTACGAAAACTAACAATATCATCACTGATTCGACATCTTTAATCGAACCAACCAAGCGGTTTTCCTTAAAACCATCTGCTGCTAGACCACCGAGATTTTATGACTTACCAAAAATCCATAAAGATAGTACACCACTCCGTCCTATCGTCTCCACCATTGACTCGCCCACCTACAAACTGACTTAATTTCTGTCTGAGACCTTGCTGCCATTCACTTGCAAGACCACCTCAGCTGTACTTAATTCAGCTCACTTGGTATCTCTAATTAAAGACATCTCACTATCTCCAGGTGATTTGCTTGTCAGCTTCAATGTAGTTTCTTTGTTTACCAAAGTCCCTGTGCCTGACACCATTGCAATCATTGAAGATTTGGTCCAACAAGGACTGAATGCCGATGTACCGGCCCTGGTGAGACACTGCCTCACCAACAATTACTTCACCTGGAATGATACATTCTACAAACAAGTTGAAGGTACCCCAATGGGTTCTCCCTTATCTCCATTGGTAGCCAATGTTTTCATGGAAAAATTTGAGACAGATGCCATCCAGACATCCATCCTACGTCCTTCCTTGTGGAAGAGATACGTAGATGACACTTTTGTCATCTGGCCACATGGCCTGCCAGCTCTGAACGAATTCTTCAACCACATTAATTCCATACACCCCGCCATCAAATTCACTATGGAGGTGGAAAAGGATGGTAAGTTACCATTCTTGGATGTTTTAATTGAAAAGAGACCAGATGGTTCATTGGGACACTGTCTACAGGAAAGCCACCCATATGGATGCCTATCTAAAGCCTGACTCCCACCACCATCCAGCCCAGAAGAATTCCCTCATCAAAAGTCTACACCATAGGGCTCTCGTTGCATTTCCGACCATCACCACCTAGCCAGTGAACTGGAGCACGTACACCAAGCCCGCAAGATGAATGGATATTCGGATTGCACAATCCGTAAAGCTGTCACTCCAACCGTTGGGAGAGAACCACCTGAGGACCCAATCAAAACCATCACCTTGCCATACATAGCAGAGGTCACCACAAATAATCCCAAAATCATGAGCAAACACAAGATCCAGGTCCAATTCAACACAGCACATAAAATTCGTGATCTGATCCCATCTGTGAAGGATGTGATCCCTGACATGCAATACCCCGGTGTCTCCAAACTAAGCTGTGCCTGTGGCAGTAGTTACATTAGGGAAACTAAGCGACATGTCTCAGACCGGGTTTGCGAACACAAGGCGGATCTGAAACACGGTAGGACCAACACCTCTGCCGTGGCTGATCATTGTTTAACGCTGTGGGCACACATGAAATTGATTTCTCCAAGATGAAGGTACTATGCAAACCCACTGGCTGTCAACCAAAGATTTGTTCATGAAGCCATCAAGATATATAAACACCGGCACAATTTCAACCGAGATGGGTACAAACTGAGCATCATTGGAAGCACGTTATTAACCAGGTAAAGTCATAACGGGCTGTGATGCTTCCATCCTACCTGCCTATGTTAGCAGTTATTTACGACTCTCTGAGTTACATTACCTTGTCAAATGTCTTTACATTAACAGGCTAAATGTCTCACTAACATAGCTGCTGCTCCCTTTTCCTCAATGCGGCGGTGGCACTCGTTGTTTAATAGGCTGAATGTCTCTCATTAACACAGAAGCTGCAGCGGGAGCTGTCTCACATTGACATGCTAATCTCTATTCTTGAGCGATACAATGGCTTCTTCAGCACCATAGCCGTGGGGTTACATTAACAGATTGACATGCTAATCTCTAACAACACAATAGCCGGGGTATACCTAGCTCTGCGATCTTACATTTACTTGCAAATTCCATCTCTAGCCCCGTCCACATACCCTTGGGTTGTACCCATCTCAAACCTATATAACCTTTGGCTGCAGTAGCTCCCTCGCTATATTTCTTCCTGCCTCAGCAGTCCGCCTGCTGTATTTTTTCACCTGAAGACGATTGCTAGAGTTGCGATCGAAATGTTGTGATTTTTAATTATTATTTTTATATCTACGTGACTTTACCGAAAGACCCAAAGAGTAGTAATAAAACAGATGTTAAGATGTTCAAACACCACACATACTTGTGGCAAACATGCAAACAAACATACTCTGATAATATATGCATTGTCTTTGAAACTGATTGGCCTACACCAGAGACAGCCTTCTTTATAGCCTTTTCTCACGAGTATTAGACCAGAGAACGCCTAAAGGCGAACAGACAATGCAAGTATCAGAACACTTATAGCTCTGGTCGAGCAGTTATATCTATTCTTATTTTTCATAATTTTGGAAACTGGCAAAAAGGTCCCATAGATATTTTATCTCTGTCAGGTTTCAGAATATTAAGGTTTAAAAAGATTGCATAAACATAGAGAAAATGTGAGCGTGCAGTTGGAGACGCCACCTCATGAGCTGGCGGATGCCCGGGTGTGGGGACACGATGGTGGAGGTGGTGTAGTGCCCAAACCAAAAGGTGTGGTTGCTGCTTTGGCTCTCCTCCTCCAGTCGAGATAGCTCCTCCATCTTGGCCTGAAGATGTTCAGGCAAGCATTTACAGGAGAGACGAGAAAAAACACAAATAAATCAGAGGATACGTGAGGTGCAGCCACCCATTCATTTCACAACGAAGCAAGGAGACTCCTTTAAAAACAACGATAAAGATAGTGTAATTTGCACGAGTGTGTGAAAGCAAGCAATCAAGTTCTGGCCTTTACGACGAACATTGAAGCCGGATTCGAAAGAAAAGTCAAGACCGGTGCCACGTTCATAGATTTGTCTACGGCTTACGACGTGGCTTGGAAGTAAGGCCTCATGTTGAAGCAACCTCCTGTCATGCGTCCAATGCTGTGGCGACCGCAGGATGCGAGTTGACCTGGGGCTGACCTGGACGAACACAGCAGTGTGCCTCGCACCCTGAAGAGTAGGCTTCCCCTGAGGTCTGTGCTCCCTGATGCTATTTGACGTAGGCACGAGTGATGAGCCACAGACGGCGTCCTGAGACATCTCAGCGCTTCGAATATCGGGGCCACTGTCCTGGTGTAGATGACCGCAGAGAAGTGTGCGCTCTAATTTGAGCAAAAAAAGACACCCACTGTCGCCTCTCATCGATGTCCCAACCGAACATCGCCATGCCGTCTATCACGGGAGCTTTAACATCTAAGTCACTGGCTTGGCTTCCTCTAACATCAATTATGGCACCGCCGCCAGATATTTGCCGCAATGCTGCTCCAAGGCTCCGTGAACTGCACCGACAGGAAAGCTGACACAAAATCTGCAAATGAATGGCGATCTGCCCAAGCCAACATCGCCGTCGCTCCCTCGACATCTACGCGTCGCTGGCATCACCACCAGCCTCTTGAATCATTTGAAGATGCTCGGTATCACCGTGGACTTTACAATTTCACAGGACGGGCCACGTCCTCAGCACAACAAAGGAGCGGAAGTCCCCGTCTCAGGGCCATATGGCACGTTCGTGCCAATGTTGACTGTGGCCAAAGCAAACACTCTTGGCTTGCAGCATTGTCGGCACTCTCGCCAATTCTAGAAATGCCATCCTTGCTCGAATTTCAGAAAAAAAAGGCACATTTATATTTACGCAATCTAACCCAAAAAGCAACATTTATGATGATTGATATTGGTCGCGAAAGCCTGCGTATAAAACATTATCAGATAAAAACCCAACAAACTTCAGCGACCCCCCAAAGCAATGGATTTCGTGATATCCTGGGCATTAGGCGTGACCACACAAACTTCCATGGCTTCGCGAAAAAAAATGTTTCACTGGCTCCTTCATCAAATCTAGAATGTGGTACAAAATTGCTACGCAGTGCCAGAATGCTTTTTTCAAGGTCTCTCGCCATAACGCCTCCACCCTGCTCACTCCACTGACCACAGTCAACCACCGCAGTCCTACGAAGCACGTCGAACAATCTGCTCATCGGATCCAGAACCAGGCTGAGCGGCGTTTCTCTGCGGCGTTTCTCTGCGGCGTGTACAAAATTCTTCGGCACATGTCGTGATAGGCACTGCAAGATCCGACTGTAAGAGCCATAAGACAGAAAGTGAGTGTATTATTTCTGTATATAGATTTGATGTACATCCGTCATACATTTGTTGACGGACTGGTTATATTTGATTTGGAATATCCCAACTGTGTAGAAACCCCCTGGGGTTAGACACTCCGTTGGTTGAACCCATTACGTCAATTCCGGTTTTTACAGTATAAATGGGGGGCTATGAGAAGAGCCTGTGGGGAGCGAGTGGATACAGTCTTTTGACCGTGCGAACGGTTGACACAGTACGTGCGACAGGGTAATACAGTACGTATGACAGGGTGATACAGTACGACGAAGTGACACAGTACGTGCGACGACGTGATACAGTACGTGAACAGGCAAAGATATAACTTTAGAATAAGCTCGTTTTTGTGCAATTAAGAAATAAAGAAACAATTTGATTTAAGACACCTCAAACACGCGTCAGACTTATTGCTCCCACAACTTAAGGGCGTAGCTTATTTCCTGGTACAAGAGAGCTGCGCCTACTCAAGTCAAAAGACTCCTACTCACGTGGAAAAAACCTACTCAAGTAAAAAAAAACTCCTACACAAGTGGAAGAAACCTACTCAAGTCAAAAGACTTCTAGTCACGTGGAAGAAAGCTGTGCAAGAAAGAAGATAGAACGCTCTTCACGTCTCATCAACATGGAGGCAACAAGTTCGTGTCTAAGAAGAAGGTACCATTAAGTTTGTACGAGAGAAGATTGTTACCAAGAGTGAAAGACAAGCAAACGTTAATGAGTTACTGAAGCCTGCTAGCTACATTAACAACTGTGAGCTGTATTCACTTTGCCAAGCCAAGACAGTGCATATTTTAGGAACGGATCTGCAAAGGTTATTTAATTGAATAACTCAGAGTTTTGAAGCCTTTTGCAACACGTTGTGCACTGAGGAAACAAGAATGGCGGACGGCATGGCAAAGTCAGCTACAGTACAAGGTAGCACAAAGACGCGAAGCTGCGTGAGAACACGTCAAGCAGGAAAGCGCAGTGTTGGTGGGAGAGCGGCGGTGCTGGCACCTAGCCAGGGCGCCTATGGTCATATAGAGTCAGAAACGCCCATGGAAAAGTGGATCACAGAAGTATCTGAAGATACAAGTGAAGATAAGAAAGATGAAGATGATGTTGATCTAGGAGACAGCATATCATTACTATCAGTTCCACGGAGCAAAAACACAAGTGAACATCGCTCCGTAAGTGGAAATGACTCAATAGTTTCCTCTAAAAGCTCCACAATTTCGGCACGTGTACTAGAAGAAGCAGAACACGCAGCTCTGTTAGACAAGGCAGCATATTTAAAGAAGAAACAAGAAATCGAGCTTGAAGAAGTACAGCTGATGACAAAGTTGAAAGCTCAAAAAGAGCTGTTGGAATCAGAGACTGCTATTGAGTATCCAGTGCTAAGCTAAAGGTGTTTGGTGAATATGTGGACACTTTGGATGGCAAGCATGAGTATTTCAAGACCAAGATCCAGCAGAACCTAGGGACTGGACAAAGAGTATAGAGACGGAGCATTTGAGAAAACCCAGCCGGCTCATTGCTATAGAAGCATACGAGGACTCTAAATCAACTCCTTCAAGAGGTAGAGAGGCTGGTACAGGTACAGCATACTACAGACCAGACCCAAGTCAACACCACCAGATGCCTGAAAGGAATTAAATAGATCTTTATCTTTATCAAGTGATGCAGCGTCAGAACGAGATTACAGAGATGCTTGTAAAACAGCACAATTTGTCTCACCTTCCTCAGAGAGACATTCCTGTGTTCAAAGGTGATCCACTTGTCTACAAGTCCTTCATTAGAGCTTTCGAGCACACCATTGACAGTAAGACAGAGAGTAGCCAAGACAAGTTTTATTACCTGGAACAATTCACCAGTGGAGAACCACAAAATCTCGTGCGCAGTTGTAAACATATGAGTCCAACCAAGGGCTACCAGGAAGCTACTTCAGAAGCACTATGGTGATGAGCTGAAGAAGCCAGTGCCTATATGGAGAAAGCTTGGCAGTGGCCTCAGATCAAAAGTGAAGGTGGAAAAGCGTTGCACACATATGCATTGTTCTTGATTGGATGTCGGAACACCATGGAAGATATTGAGTACATGGATGAAATGGATAATCCCACAAACATGCGAGTGGTCATCTCAAAGCTTCCGTATAAGATGACGTGGAGAGGGAAGGCCTTCAATGTTCAAGAAAGACGAGGAGGAAGAGCCAGGTTTACAGACTTGGTGGACTTCGTCGACAAGCAATCCAAAGTTGCAATGGATCCGCTGTTTGGAGACATGCAGGACACCAACAGAGGTATTGCAGGAAAGGGAAAAGACAAGACTGCAGACATAAAGACCCATCATAAGAGTGGCCTTAAAGGAAGCAGTCTTGCAATAAGCGTCATGTCTTCTGAAGAGGGGAAAGCACCAGACTCACCTCAGAAAAATAGTCGAGACAAGCCTGCTATTGCCTTCCAGAAATCCTGCTTGTTCTGTGAGAAGAATGACACACTGGATTCTTGCATTAAGATCAGAGAAAGGCCACAGAAATACAGAAGTGAGCTTCTGACGAAAAGAGGACTTTGCTTTGGATGTCTTATACAAGGGCACCTCAGCAAGGAGTGTAAGAAAAGAATGACATGTCAAGAGTGTAACTTGAAGCATCCAAGCATGCTGCACGTCATTAAAAAAACCGTGTCCCCTCCTAAAAGGAATGAAGATGGCACCACTGAAGAGAAGATAGCCTCAAGTGCTATTGCGTCCCTTAAGCATGCAACTTGTGGCTACACCGGGGCTGGAGACGGACATTGTATTCTCGCCATTGTTCCAGTGAAAATCAAATCCAAAAGAAGTGAGAAGAGTGTGGAGACATACGCATTCATGGATTCAGGGAGTTCAGCGACATTTTGTACTGAAACCCTGAGAAAACAACTCAACATCAGAGGCAGGAAGACTGAAATCCTTCTGTGAACCATGGGTCAGGAGACGTTGGTACACAGTTATATCCTGTCAGACCTGGAAGTGAGTGGACTTGAGGAGGGAGATTATATTGACCTGCTAAAGGTCTTCACCCACAGTGACATTCCAGTGAAGAAAGAAAACATACCACTACAGCATGATGTCGAGAGATGACCCTGTCTGAGAGAAGTGCACCTCCCATGCATTGAGGCAGAGATAGGCCTGCTGATAGGAACTAATGCACACAAAGCAATGGAACCATGGAAGATGATAAATAGTGAAGGTGATGGACCCTACGCAATCAAGACCACTCTTGGCTGGGTAGTGAACGGACCTATAAGAACAGGAGACGCCAATGGAAAATGGCAACGTTTCACTGCAAACCGTATCTCCATCTCAAACATTGAAGAACTGTTAGTCCAACAATACAACACAGACTTCTCAGAACGCAGTTGCGAGGACAAATCAGAGATGTCACAAGACGACCATCAGTTCATTGCAATCTGTGACAAGGTCAGCTGAGCTGG